AATGCACAAACAGGCGCTGAGAACGGCGCAATGCCGCCGTGCGCGCCACATAGCAGGACAGCGCGCGCACCGGACAGAGGAGATGAGATGTGGCTTCTTCCTTCGACCTGTAAGGAGGGGGGAAGAAGCCAGCCAGGGTGATCACTCTTGACCTAAAAGAGTTGTGATGACCTTAGGCATGAAGCCGGGTTAGGGCGTAAAACAGCTGAACTGCATCTCCTTGGATCCGGAGACATGACGGAGCCACAGAGAGAGCAGACAAATCACTCACCCTTTTCTCTGATAGAGCCAAAAGCAGTACTACTTTGGCTGAATACAGTTAAGGGGAACCTGATCAGGTTCAAATGGGGCTTTGCTTTAGTGCGCGGAACACCAAAGCCAAATCCCACTGAGTCGCCAGTGTGCGTGACACAGGTCTGAGTCTCCATACTCCTCGCATACAACGGCTGCTGCGTTCTGCGAGCCCCTCGGTTAAATTCGCCGGGAATATACATTGCTCTGATGGAGAGCAACGTGTGTGCGCGCCCAGAACAGCAGCCGCCTGGCTGCGTTCAGAAGCTGCGCAGATCGTACTCCTCCCTGGCGATTGAGGTAGGCTGCTTCCATAGCCGTGGCCTGTTGTCTGTGCAAATCAACACATGTTTGATTGTACAGCAACGGGGCGACTCCCCCGTTCTTTTCCGAGATTTAGAAAAATAGCGGGAGTAAACCGCGCAAGACACTGTTCCTGGGATGACGGGAGTGTTTCTTGTATCCCATGGAACTGCTGGGGGGAGAGGCTTCTCTGTGATGTGCCGTAATGGTCGTCATGGTGACGTGCCACGCCATCGCCGCCGCTGCCCGTGAAGCAAAAGGGCTGCGAGGGAGTTTCCACACGCTGCATTCCACTCCGTCTCTCATCATGAGGCGCGTACACGCCCAGAGGATGAGAGGTGTGTGTATGCTATCCACACGAGGCGTTATAACGGTGCTCGTGGATTTATTATGACCGTGTGTAGGAGGCATATCTGGGACAGGGGAATGCCTCGAGCTCTGCAGTTTATAAACCAATAGGTTAAAACAGCAGGCTTCTGCAGTGAATGAAGCACCTCTGGAGTGTCCCCCAGTTGGAAGAGACCCAGGGGAATCCCCCCCGTGACCAGCTGACGCCAATGCCGAGCAGCTGCGTCACGGAGAGTGCTGTGTGGGTTGTGACACGCCGGAGGAGAGCTGTCAGTTTCTCCACTCGCTGCCGCGAGAGCGCACTCTGCTGTTGGCTGAGTTTTTAATTCCACTCCAGATAACGTTTGTCTGAGAGGGAAGGGAACAGCTCTTCTTCCAACTTGTTATGAAACCCAAGCTTTGACAGATGCGATACGAGATGTACCGTCTGTAAAGCGACTTCCTCCCTGGAGCGAGCCAGCAACTAGCAGGTCGTCCAGAGGAAACCACCCTCTCATCCCTCCTCTGTGTAGCGGCTCCAGCCTTATCTACACAAAAATGGGAGGAGCCAGGAAATATCCAAACGGCAGACGATTGTCTGGTCTGATATTCCCTGAAATGAGAAACCGCAGGAATTTCCTGTGTTTTGGGATGATGGGTACGTGGAAGTATGCATCCTTCAGGTGGAAGTGAACCAGTCGTCCTGGTGAACACATTCCAGCACCTGTTTGATCGTCAGCATATGGAATACTGACAGATCGAGGATGTCTCATTGCCCCAGTCTTTTTCGGGATTAGAAAAATAACGGGGGTGAAAACCCCTGATTTTTCTCCCTTTGAGGAAACCTGGAAATATCCTCTTTCAACAGGAGTTCCAGCGGCTCGGATTGGAGCGCAAGACATAGCTTCTGGGAGGACAGGAGTGTTTCCTGTATCCCATTTAACTGTGGGGGGGGGGGAGAGGCGAACTGCAGGGTGTCCCCTCTGCTGATCAGCCTGCTCATCCATCTGTCCATCAGACACACGCGCTGCCACGCCGAGAAACACTCTGAGAGCGGGCCCACATGCTCGAGATGTGTTGTGGTCGTCATGACGACGAGCCACGCCAGAGTCCTCGCGGCCGCTGCCCGTGAGGCAACCCAAGGTGGGCCTAGAGCGAAAGGGCTGTGAGGAGGCCTCCACACGCTGCATTTCACTCCGACTCTCATCATGAGACGCGTACACGCTCAGAGGATGAGTGGAGGTGTGTGCAGTGACATCCACATGAGGCGTTACCACGGCGCTCATGGGCTTATTGTGACCGTGTGTAGGTGGCGTATCTCGGACAGAGGAATGCCGCGAGGTCTGTGGTTTAATAACCGAAAAGTCATAACCACCAGGCCTCTGCAGCGAGCCCTGCTGCCTACTAATCAACAGATTGGAGGCAGTTGGCCCTGATTTTCTTCCTCTTGGGGAACCCTGGAAATAGCCTCTTTCAACAGGAGTTGCCATAGCTCTGCCCGTGAGGCAACCCAAGGTGGGCCTAGAGCGAAAGGGCTGTGAGGAGGCCTCCACACGCTGCGTCTCACTCCGACTCTCATCATGAGGCGCGTACACGCTCAGGGGATGGATGGAGGTGTGTGCAGTGCTGCCCACATGAGGCGTCCGTGTGTAGGAGGCGTACCTCGGACAGAGGAATGCCGCGAGCTCTACAGGTTATTAACCGAGGTTAAAACCGGCAGGCTTCTGCAGCGATCCCTGCTGTCTACTTAATCAACAGATTAGTGGCAGCCGCGAAAGGGCTGCGAGGAAGCGGTAACGGCAGTGTTTCCACTCCCTCTACAACAGTTGCTTTTTACGTGTGGCGTCACCATATCTGGACAAAGGTGATTGATAATTAAACTTAAACCCATAGAAATACCCCGTCCCAGCATTGCTTCTGCAGAGCATGTGTCAGATTTATCCTCTCACTCCCTTTACCTTTCTCTTTACAGCCTTCCAGGCTGGATTACTATTGAAAGGACACTTTGTTTGTTTTCCATTTACAGAGGCAGGGCTGTGCACAAACACCCGACAGCTAGCGGGCCATGAGGAGAGTTCAGCTGATGTGACAACAAGTGTATTGTGTTAGCATCGCTGAAATAGACCAATCACCACAATGACTCATTTTACTTTTGGTACTTTAAGTATACATTGATGGTATTACTTTTGTACTTTTACATTTTGATTGCAGGGCTTTTACTTGTAACCGAGTATTCAATCAATCAATCAATCAATCAATCAATCAATCAATGTTTATTTATATAGCCCAATATCACAAATGTTACATTTGTCTCAGTGGACTTTACAGTTTGTACAGAATATCAGTATGACAATACGACACCCTCTGTCCTTAGACCCTCTGTCCTTAGACCCTCACATCGTACAAGGAAAAACTTCCTAAGAAAACCCAGTTTAAAGGGAACATGGGAGAAACCTCAGGGAGAGCAACAGAGGAGGGATCCCTCTCCCAGGACGGACAGACGTGCAACAGATGCCGTGTGTAAATTGAAAAGATAATACATTTGCAACATAGGTAGTCCAAATGTTTGGAAATGCATGTGTGTATAATAAGATTATACACACACATATACACACGTATTCCTACACTCTGGTACTTCTGCTTTGACTCAAGTACAAGATCTGAGTACTTCTCCCACCCCTGATTAGGGTATAGGTCGCATGCAAACGAACTGAGTAAGAATTGCTGAAATGAGGACAAAACTGCCCCTGTACCAGGGCTCAGTCCCTGCTGTGGCCAAGGCAGGGCCTTTCCAAAATCTGTTCTGGGACCAGTCAGCTACATTTCTGTGTGATGACGCAGGTGTTTTTACTCTCTCTCTTCAACCCAGAAGAATGTAATTTACCACAGGAGCCACAAGAAGGGTATAACGGGGGAGATAGACATACAGACTAGTTTATATCTAAAAAGCAATTATTAGAAAACCTAAATAAAGTAATAAGCCTATGATGAATAAACACAATGTCTGTTTACAATAACCTCAAGGAGTTTGGATAGGGTGGTTTTTGTTTTGAATTGAACTTGACCATCAATGACGTATATAAATGATTACAGACTGAGAATGCCGAACATAAGCTTTATCCAACTGAGGCTCATTAAAGCGACAAGAGCTCAAACTAAACAGCAGACAGAAATCTAGCTCTCCAACACATCTCTAAGCGAATGACCAATCACAACAGAGCCGGCCAACTAACCAATCAGAGCAGACTGGGCTCTGGTTTCAGACAGAGGGTGAAAAGAGGTGCTGCAGCACAGGCAGTATGAGAAAAATAAAGAGCTTTCTGAACATTAAAGCATGGAGACATGTCACAGGAGAGACCTAAATACAAACCTTTAAGAAAATAGATTTTCATGGCCTTTTACCTTTCATATATGTGTTAAAATCACACAAAATAAAGTATTATGCATAATAAGATATTCTACTTTTGATTCTTTGAATACCTTTTACTACATTTTGATTGTAGGACTGGTAGTGTCTTCCCTTAGCTAATGGATGTGAATCTTTCATTAAATCAAATCAGGTTTTATTTATATAGAACATTTTAAAAACGATTGCTGTACATGCAAGTAATAAATAACACATTACTACAGTCGCAAACAGAAGACAATAAATTACAACAGCAAATATAAAAATCAAACACAGGGAAATGTCAGGAGTCGTGCTCTGCTCTGACTAGAAGGCCAGGGAGAAGAAGTGAGTTTTTAGTGTTGATTTAAAAACCCCTAGGGTCTGGGCCGACCTCACATGGAGGGGCAGAGTGTTCCAGAGCCTGGGGCCAGCTGCTGCGAAGGCTCGGTGCCCTCGGGTTTTGAGCCTGGTCTTAGGCACTACCAGCAGCAGCTGCTCAGCCGACCTTAAGGCTCTGGCTGGGGTGTAGCGATGGAGGAGTTCTGCTATATAGGCCGGAGCCAGCCCATTTAGGGCTTTGAAAACAAATAAAAGGAGTTTAAAATCAATGCGGAACCGAATTGGAAGCCAGTTTAGTGAGGCCAGAATTGGGGTGATGGGATTAAATGGTAGCATGCCAGGTGGGTCTGACCTGACTGTCCTGCAGCGTGTCCTCGCAGCCCTCCAGAGCCTCACACACCGTGTCGCTGCACTGAGGACACACCCACACCAGGTCTCGCATGGTCTGCACCACGGCTGCCAGAGACACAGGGACACACAGAGGGACAGTTTGTCTAGGAACTGGAATTACCACTTGTGGTTGAATGCTGCTGTCCGGTTGAAACCATGTCTATCAAATATGTCATCACTTTATATATATACTATTAGCCATTTGTGTACAATTTTAACAATTAGCATATGAATTATTGAGCAATGGCTAAAAACAAAAAACTATTTCAGTGATCAACACAATCTAATCAGTGGCCAAATTCAAAGAAATCCCCTGAAAGATTTCCTGTTCATGAGAGCAGTGGTGGAAGAAAACTTAAATACTTTACTCAAGTAAAAGTAGAAATACTTCGGCCTGAAAATACTTCATTACAGGTGAAAGTCCTGAATTCTAAATGTTACTTGAGTAGAAGTATAGAAGTATTGACAGCTAAAAGTATCAAAAGTAAAACATATTATAGAATATTAAATGATTCCTTCCTTCTTTTAATTGCTTACAAATACATGTACAAACAATTCAACATCATTTTGTATGTATTTTGTAGTAACGTACTGTTATAATCATATCAAAATGTCATGTGTTTCTTTTATGGAAACAGTAGCTGGTAACTATTAGTGTTAAATAAATGTAGTGGAGTAAAAAGTACAATAAATGTTTCAAAATGTAAGGGAGTAAAAGTATAAAGAAGCATTTCATGGAAATACTCAAATAAAGTACTACAAAATAGTACGTAAGTACAATACTTGAGTAAATGTAATTTGTTACTTCCGAACAGTGTAAGAGAGTGGGACGGACATATGATGAAACACCAAAAACCCCCGGTGAGGATTAAACACAGGTGCTGACAACTGTGATGGAACGAAAGGGCTTTAGTATTCAGTCAAAACTAATGTAGCAGCACAATGACTGGAAGTGAGGAGTGTGTGTGTGTGTGTGTGTGTGTGTGTGTGTGTGTGTGTGTGTGTGTGTGTGTGTGTGTGTGTGTTTTACCAGAAGTGATGTGCTCCTGTTTGAGCCCCAGCAGTCCAGTGAGGATCTCCAGACATCTGTCGCTGTAGCTCCGCCCAATTCCACCTGCACCCAGTTCAGACAGGAAGTCACAGGAGTGGAGGGGAACCTGAACATTAGAAACTCTGTCCCACACAATGAGAGCTTTGAAATGTTGATCAGCTCGTTTCTTTGGCTGGATTTTTAGATTAGATTCAAATGTTTTGTCATTTCACGTAAAGTACAACAAAATGCAGTTTGCATCCAGGTTACAGTATATTCACATATTACTAGTGGTGTAAGAAGTACTCAGGTATTCTACTTAAGTTAAAGTAAAAATACTACAAGTAAAAGTCCTGCCTTAAAAACTTTCTTTTGTAAATGTATTAAAGTATTGGCATCAATATATACTTTGAGTACCAAAAGCAAAAGGTCTTGTTATGAGTAATAACTAAATTCAGAATAATTTGGATTACATTTTTATTTTGAACGTATTCATATTTTCATCACAGCTGGTAAAGGTTGAGCTCCTTTTAATACCTGTATATACAGTGGGGCAAAAAAGTATACAGCCACCAATTGTGCAAGTTCTCCCACTTAAAAAGATGAGAGGCCTGTCATTTTCATCCTAGGTATACCTCAACTATGAGAGACAGAATGAGAAGAAAAAAATCACATTGCCTGATTTTTAAAGAATTTATTTGCAAATTATTGTGGAAAATAAGTATTTGGTCAATAACAAAAGTTCATCTCAATACTTTGTTATATACCCTTTGTTGGCAATGACAGAGGTCAAACATTTTCTGTAAGTCTTCACAAGGTTTTCACACACTCTTGCTGGTATTTTGGCCCATTCCTCCATGCAGATCTCCTCTAGAGCAGTGATGTTTTGGGGCTGTCGCTGGGCAACACGGACTTTCAACTCCCTCCAAAGATTTTCTATGGGGTTGAGATCTGGAGACTGGCTAGGCCACTCCAGGACCTTGAAATGCTTCTTACGAAGCCACTCCTTCGTTGCCCGGGCGGTGTGTTTGGGATCATTGTCATGCTGAAAGACCCAGCCACGTTTCATCTTCAATGCCCTTGCTGATGGAAGGAGGTTGTCGCTCAAAATCTCACGATACATGGCCCCATTCATTCTTTCCTTTACACGGATCAGTCGTCCTGGTCCCTTTGCAGAAAAACAGCCCCAAAGCATGATGTTCCCACCCCCATGTTTCACAGTAGGTATGGTGTTCTTTGGATGCAACTCAGCATTCTTTCTCCTCCAAACACGTCTAGTTGAGTTTTTACCAAAAAGTTCTATTTTGGTTTTATCTGACCATATGACATTCTCCCAATCCTCTTCTGGATCATCTAAATGCTCTCTAGCAAACTTCAGACTGGCCTGGACATGTACTGGCTTAAGCAGGGGGACACGTCTGGCACTGCAGGATTTGAGTCCCTGGCGGCGTAGTGTGTTACTGATGGTAGCCTTTGTTACTTTGGTCCCAGCTCTCTGCAGGTCATTGACTAGGTCCCCCCGTGTGGTTCTGGGATTTTTGCTCACCGTTCTTGTGATCATTTTGACCCCACGGGGTGAGATCTAGCCCCAGATCGAGGGAGATTATCAGTGGTCTTGTATGTCTTCCATTTTCTAATAATTGCTCTCACAGTTGATGTATTCACACCAAGCTGCTTACCTATTGCAGATTCAGTCTTCCCAGCCTGGTGCAGGTCTACAATTGTGTTTCTGGTGTCCTTTGACAGCTCTTTGGTCTTGGCCATAGTGGAGTTTGGAGTGTGACTGTTTGAGGTTGTGGACAGGTGTCTTTTATACTGATAACGAGTTCAAACAGGTGCCATTAATACAGTTAACGAGTGGAGGACAGAGGAGGCTCTTAAAGAAGAAGTTACAGGTCTGTGAGAGCCAGAAATCTTGTTTGTTTGTAGGTGACCAAATACTTATTTTACCGAGGAATTTACCAATTCATTCATTAAAAATCCTACAATGTGATTTCCTGGATTCTTTCCCCCCATTCTGTCTCTCATAGTTGAAGTGTACCTAGGATGAAAAGTACAGGCCTCTCATCTTTTAAGTGGGAGAACTTGCACAATTGGTGGCTGACTAAATACTTTTTTGCCCCACTGTATACTGTATACATAATCACTATGTTTTTAGAATTCTTAAAAAAGGCTCGTTTAACAATAGCAGACAGTGTTTAATCTGTGGCTGCTTTCATCCTCTGGTTACTGTTCAACCCGGCTCAGAGGGGAATGTTGACATTTGTAGAACAGGGAAGTGAATCGACAAAAACAGCCAGGTAATACTGTCAAAGAAGCTGCCTGAGCTTTACTGAAGTTAAGCGTTTAGGAATAAAGTGTAATATGACAGGAGAGAATATAAGTGAGTCTTTCTGAAACATGAAATGACAGCTCATTTTTTATTCTGTATATGTATGTATATATATATTTATGTATTTGTATTCTTTGGGACGGTGAGAAATGGCATTTCGGAAATTGATAATAAAGATGACTTGGACTTTGACTTGGCGTGTGTGTGTGTATGTGTGAGTAAAAGGGTGTGTGACTGGTCTTAAGGAAATGACTGCCTGTGAGTGTTTGCCTTGTAACAAAGACATGGTGCAGCAGCAGTGTGTGCATGATGTTGCTGCAGGAGTGTGTTTACCTATGGCTGAGATGGCAGCCTGGGCGGTGTCAGTGTTCACGTCGGTGCAGTACCCTCTCAGCTCGTCCAGTATCATTGCAACATTGTCATCATTCACCAGCTCCACCAGCACCTGCAAACACAAACAGCTTCAGTTCACTGACAGCACCCAATACTGATCTGGCTATACTGGGCAGTGAGTGTGGATACCATTAAAGGGTAAACAGAACTTCAGTATCCACCACTATTCCGATTAGGAAAACTAATCATGTCTAATTCAACAGTGTGTACAGCATGTGTTAACACGTACAAGTGTGTGGTTTCTTTTAAAGGGAAGGAAATACATTCAAAAACATAAACACAAAAGGATTTGGTAAGGAGGTTTATATAAGAGGGCTTAATTGCAAGTGCCAACTATGCACACATAATCCCACTAAACTCTTGTTTCAGTTCACCATGTAACTCCATTTAGAAAAACCAGCTTATGGCAGCACAGGTGTGGTGAGAGAAGACAAACAACATCATATAAAAGAAAACAATAAAGGGGTTACATTTAAACTGCAGTTGTTTTTGTCATGCATGACACATAATCTGTGGGGAAAAAAACAAATCTCTATCCTCCTCAGGCTTTGGGAGTAACGGATTACATGTTACAGGTTCAAGTTATAAGGATACAAGAAAAAGGTAAGTATTTCCTTACAGTCACATCAAAAATACATAATCAGATTCCTGGTACATTGTTTAAAAGTGGGGATTACCAGCAGGATTACAATGTTATGTTTCGATGTATGATAGGGAGACGTACCGTCTGGATTTTCCTTTTGGGTTTTATTTAGGCTACTTTCATTGAATTTGTTTATTTTTAAATTCAGTAGGTTGATACCTGATCAGTGATCTATCAAGGAAAGAAAACTGTGTTTGCTTTGAATGAATGTGCGTTTGTAAACTATACTATGCTGAAAGCCTAGAGGATATATTTTTGATACTAAATATCTTGGTTTCTTATTTTCTAAGGTCACTTTGTTCTGTTGTAAAAACATCTTATTGATATCACTTTTCTTCTTTATTTATTGCATTTGATATTGAGGTAATCCAAAAGTAACGGCAAGTAATCAGGATACATTTATTTTATATTGTGATGCTCAGATTAACGGAATACATTTTTTAAGTTACCCTCCCAACCCTGATCCTCCTAGACTCATAAAAGCATATGGAAAATTACAATGCATTTGGGTGAAAACAGCCAATCAGAGGCAAGGAGCCTCTACTGAAGAAAGGGGTTAAACTAGGTCACATATGAATCAGGATTCTGTTACCTACTTCTGGCCTAAAATGTTTCAATGTGCTCTCTAGCTGTAGAACATGTGTTCTGTTCCTTTAAGAACTATCTGACTGTTGAAAAGCAACACTCTAGGCTCGTCTCAATACCCTTCCTCGACTCCTCTCTTCCCCTCCTCCGGGACTTGACCCGGAAATCGATCAAGACACGCCATGTTGAAGGACGTCCCAATAGCTGAAATGCACACGGAGGAGTCGAGGAGGGGTGAGGGAGGAGGGGTGCGGGAGGAGGGGTGCGGGAGGATACACGAGAGCAGACTACGCAGAAGTGTTTTCACTACTCGCTTATAAAAGCCCCGCCCCCACCTTCACAGCTGGTCGATTTCAACAGAGGAAAACCGACAACTGGAAGATGAGTGGAAAAGCGTCACAAAAATGTATAAGTGCTAACAGCTCCGTGGGAATTATTATGTGCAATTCATTTCTTAAGGTTATACCAGTGGTTCTCAAACTTTTTCTCCCTTTGGAGGAAAAAAAAAGTCGGGCCCCCCCAACACAAATAGTCAGGCTCAGTGGCGGCGCCAGAGATTTATTTTGGGGGTGCTGTGGGGTAGCTTGACGTTTCATAGAGGGTGCTCAAACATTTAGGGTTTCCCATTAATGTACCGGTCGCTACAGTGGAACTTTCTACTGCAACACTCCCCACACGCACACACACAACGTACCCGCGACTGTTACAATGAAGGCTCGATAATCAGCTCATGGCATATAGGTGTAAGCAGGGGTAAAGTGCTATTTTTTATGAGTGGGGGGCGGACCTCACCTCCTCTAGGGGGGTCCGGGGGGATGCTCCCCCGGGAAGATTTATTTTTAAATATTGAAGTTGAAAGCATCAATCTGGTGCACTTTGAGAGCAAAATGAAGAGATCTATGGATACATCTCTCAGCACCCATTTGGAACAGAACTGTAAACAGATTTACTTTTTCTTTATGGTTATTTTACAAATCACTCCCCTTTCAAACTGTATTCTTGTTTTAATGTCATATAGTATTTCATAGCTGTTTTTCATTTATTCTCTTATTTTTTTATAACTATAATGATCATATAAACGTGTGCCTCGGAAATAATTGTTTACATTAATGGTGACCAAAACATTTGAGACCCACTGAGATAACATTACATTACATTACATTTAGCTGACGCTTTTATCCAAAGCGACTTACAATAAGTGCGTTCGACCAACAAAATACAACCTTGAAGAAAACAGAATCATATAAGTACATCAGGTTTCATAGAGCAAAAACATTTCAAGTGCTACTCAACTGGCTTTAGGTAAGCCAGTCCTTTATTAGTATATAAGTGCTTTGTTAATAGTTCTAACGCTCGAAGTGGAGTCGAAAGAGAAGAGTTTTCAGTCTGCGCCGGAAGGTGTGTAAGCTATCTGCTGTCCTGATGTCAATGGGGAGCTCATTCCACCATCTTGGAGCCAGGACAGCAAACCCACGTGTTTTTGCTGATGGGAACTTGGGTCCCCTTCGCAGCGAGGGTGCAGCGAGTCGTTTGGCTGATTCAGAGCGTAGTGCACGTGCTGGGGTGTACGGTTTAACCATGTCCTGGATGTAGGAAGGGCCAGATCCATTCCCAGCATGGTACGCAAGTACCATTGTCTTGAAGTGGATTCTAGCAGTTACCGGAAGCCAGTGAAGGGAGCGGAGGAGCGGAGTGGTGTGGGAGAATTTAGGAAGGTTGAAGACCAGACGAGCCGCTGCATTCTGGATGAGCTGCAGAGGTCGGATGGCACATGCAGGTAGACCAGCCAGGAGGGAGTTGCAGTAGTCTAGGCGTGAGATGACGAGAGCCTGGACCAGAACCTGAGTCGCTTTCTGGGTCAGCTGGGGACGTATCCTCCTGATGTTGTAAAGCGTGTATCTGCAGCAGCGGGTTGTAGCAGCGATGTTTGCAGTGAAGGACAGACACAGAGAGTCCTTTAGCTCACTGAGTCTCTCAGTCTGACAGGAGAGGACTCTCCTCCACTTTGTTGGTACCGGTGCGTTCTCTCTCTCGCGCACACAAAATGGCTCGTTCCACACACACACACACACACACACACACACACACACACACACACACACACACACACACACACACACACACACACACACACACACACACACACACACACACACACACACACACACACACACACACACACACACACACACACACACACACACACACACACACACACACACACACACACACACACACACACACACACACACACACACACACACACACACACACACACACACACACACACACACACACACACACGAGCTTTAATGAAACACAGACGTAATAGTACTGTACTGCATCATATTATTTTCGAATCAATAATTTTTCAATTTATGATTTTTTCTTTTTATATAACCATTTTTCCTCCTGGTCTCTCGCGCCCCCCCTGGCATGCCCCTGCGCCCCCCACTTTGAGAACCACTGGGTTATCCTAACAATTTAAGTCATGTTTAATGATCTTGAACGTCACTGAAACATAGCTATTAAGAAAGCTATTTCATAAATGGCTAGATCTTGATAAATAACAATTGTTTTGTGTTAAAATATTCAGTAGTTAAATTATTTAAAATTCACAGTCCTGAATGTGGGTTTGTGGTGAATGTGGGGATCTACAGGACACACATTTTCAGAGTAAAGGCTTTCACATTATTATAATTCTATTTTTATTTAAATGTAGGCTACATTTTACACCAAAACGGAACACAAAAGCAGGACCGACCATCATACATTGAATTCGTTGACTAACAAGAGAAAGATTCATTCATTTAAATACATATTTAACCAGAAATGGGCCGGTTCTAACTTCTAAGGGGTTATTCAGTTAAGCCCGATGAGAGGGGATACAGCTGTGCACATGTCATCATTAACAGACGTCGTTTAAGAGTGACGTTTGAGTGAACGAGGACATCCCAATTAATACCTGAGGACTCCTCTGTCCTCGCGTCACCTCCTCGTGTCTCTCGCTCGTATCTTATGGAGGCGGAGCTAAGACGCAAGGAAGGGACGCGAGTGAGGGAAAGGAGGAGGTGAAATATTCAATTGAGACGAGCCCTGAGTTATCACCTGCATTTTCCTCTGCTTGATGTAGGCTGGCTCTGCGTAGCCACAGAAGAAACGCTTGTAGTGCGCCCCCATCAGGCCAGGCAGAGACCGCAGCAGCAGCTAGAGGAAGAACAACACACCTTTTAATTCTCCACATGTACACACGTCCCCCTTACAGGAGATCACCACTGCAGACAGACTAATTATAAGGTGATATATGCTTCCTTATACAGCATATTTCAACACAAGGTGATTCAAAGTGCTTTACAAAACACATTAAAAGCATTAGGATTAGATTTGAAAACAGTCGCAAAAAAGCCAAGAATTTTAAAATAAAAATAAAATAGAACTGTTTCAGTACAGTGTAAGATATGAATAGTTGTTAAATGTAATAAAAGACAGCAGTAAAAGTAAAACATTTCATTTGGAGGAGCCTTTCACAGCATCAGGACATAGTTCATGAAACACTAATAAAAAATACTAATACTCAATACAAGTTAAGGTCCTGAATTCAACATGTTGCCTAACTAAAAGTATTAGCATGAAGAAATAATTAAATTAAAAAAAAGGAAAAGTACTGATACTGCACAATGGTCCATCTTAGAATAATATAAAGTATACAAGTATTATCAGCTAAATTAGTATTCATTGTTGTACAATGATAAGATATTATGGTAATTATATTTTCCTGTTTTATAAAAGCAGCATGGAGCCAATCTTAGATTTCAGAAAATACCTCGCTTATTTGTAGTAAAGTACGGATGAAGGAAATATGATACTTAGAGCCTCCACACACACATTACAAACACACACACACACACACACACACAAATTTGCTTTTCATGTGTGAACCCCCACCTTCTATGTCTAAAGCGTCAGTAGTTCATCACACTAGTCTAAAGCAGGGGTACTCAAATACAAATCTTAAAGGTCCAAAATAAATGTTTCAATAAGACAAAGGTCCGTTTATTACGGTCATTCAAACTTTTAAACAATTGCAACAAGATTCTTAACACGAGGTTGCAAAAACAAAAATAATCTGTATGCAGCAGTTTTCATTGTTATTGTGTCTGTGCTTGACCCCTCAGAGTCGCAGTGTAAGAGCTGCAGTTATGAATAAAGGCAGCGGCACCCTCTTTCATTCAGCATTCCCATTATTGCTTTATAAATGTATTCCCCCTTGTGTGTCCACTGAGGTTCGTCAGGCCCAACACATCTTCAACAAACTCCCCCTTTGCCTCATCATAAAAACTCACAAACACCAGCAACTGAGCATTGTCAGTGGTGTCAGTGGACTCACCCACAGCTAAGGAAATGCACTGTGCATTTTTTATTCCATCACAAAGCTGATGAATCAAATCACCAGCCAGTATTTATGTTCTTCTGGTTGCTGTGGAATCTGAGAGGGGATTTGCTTGATTTTACCTGTTATTTCCTCTTTTTGTTTGCCTTCACATGGTCTCCATCACTTCAGTCATGCATTCTTTTATACTGCAGTTATTATCCAGTGGAAAGTCCTTACCTACTGGCCTAGTTCAATCAAAGTGGTTACTTTTGTTTGGCTGGGCAGTGTAGTTTTACACACCGTCTGATTTGACTTTCTCAGGACTTAAAACTGTTTTTTGGGGGCAGACCGCCTCAAAGAAAAAAATATATTTACACACGTAAGGTCATCATCTTAATAGTTTTGTATGCTCATCCGTGAGCAGAGCATCAAGTTGACATGTCTATTACAGCTGAATGCGGCGATTACCATCTTGTTCAGCAAAACTCCTCACAAACGTATTAAGATCAACAGCTTTAGTGCGTTTTGATTCAATGCTGAGTACAGTCAAACTGACAGTCTCTTCTCTGTCAGACCGCAAATACCTCATTCCTTCAGTGCTTGGGTCCGAATGCTTCTCGTTTTGCGCCGTCCAGTTCAAAATTAAATCGCCGCAAATCGTATGTCCACGCTCGCGCCAGGACAGGGGGAGGGGTTACATGACGTGCATCTTGTGCTGCATTCACTTGCACTCGGACATTAGAGACTTTCTCTCATAAATGTCCGATGAGCCACAACTTTTCTAACAAAACAAAGCTGCCAACTGGGGTGGCAGCTCGGGTGGCAAGGCCTATTTTTAGGGTGTCAGTTGCCACCCCGGTAGGTGAAACTAGGCTACTAGCTACAGTACAGATGGAACTAGATGAGCTGTTAACTCTCGCTCTGAATTTTTTTTTTTTTTAATTCTCGCTCTGACTTAGACAGGTTGAAAGAGACACACACATGTTTCCCGCCCGCATTCCGCGAAGACCCGCCCTACTGTGCCTCTGATTCGCAGATTGTTTGGGGGAAAAAAACGCTGACTGGATGCTGAATGTGATTGGACCAAAGCGTTGACACACACAGGTGGAACACAGTGGAACAGTCAGACATGCAGAGCGCTGTTTGCAGTGGACATAGCGGAGAATGTTGACTCGTTGCGAATGCGTTGTGGCGATGTCTCACATATAATACAGAGAGATCATACATATGAAAAGTATAATTTGCTCAGAGTCCGGAGACAGTGGTGGTTCGGTCCGGATCCGGACCGGAGTCCGTAGTTTGAGGATGCCTGGTCTAAAGTATTACATACTGCAGTATACAACCCCACCCCCCCCCACCTCTGCCCCCAGTGTTGTAAAGTAACAAAGTACATTTACTCTAGTACTCTTCTTAAGTATAATTTGGAGGGACCTTTAGTTACTTCACAGATGTGGATGAATGATGTGAAATATAATCAAGTGTTAAATCAGACTTTAGTTCCACCTGGAGTAAATTCACCAGCTACCCCGCAGTATACAAAGCCATTCAAACTAGCTGCACCTTTGATAACACTTTAATGATCAATCATTAGAAAACATATCATATTTTTCTGAAATGGACCAATCTGCACATTAGCCACATTCCCACCCGTACTTTTCCCGTTTAGTTCCGTTAGTACCCCTTATGTCGTGTTTACACCAAAAAGAGTACTTAGTGCCGGGAACTTTTACCCCCATTTTTAGTGCCTGCTGAGAGGTGGTACTATCCTGGGGGAAAAAAGTGCCCCAGTTCTGATTGGCTGGGCGAATTGAAAACCACGCCCCGTAAAACTCTGAAAAGTTTTGTGATTGTATTGTATTTGCCGGCATTAGCATTATTAGCATTAGCATTAGCCCCGCGCACCAACGGAGAGAGACTAACTTATGGCAACACAAAATAAAACATGGGAGCGGTGGAGATGAGGAGGTGTCGGCGTTCTGGCGATTTACTCTGAAGGCTTCAGTAGAAGCTGCTGGGAGTCCCAGCAGCTTCTACTGAAGCCAGTCCCCAACTCCGGGGACTTCCGGCCGGGGACTTCAGGTGGCAGTATACGCGGTGAAGTGGTTTGCGGCCTGCCAGTAAACCCAAAGCAGAAGTGACGTCAGCCGGCTCATTTGCGTAATCTTCCCTCAGGGAACTTATTCCGGTGTGAACGCGATCTGTACTTAGTGCTCTGGGGTAATAAGTGCCGGCACTAAGTACGGCAAAGTACTTGGTGTGAACGCGGCTAATGAGTACTTTTACTTTTGGTACTTTAACTATATTTTGATGCTAATACTTTTCTACTTTTACTTGAGTAACATTTTGAATGCAGGACTTTTACTTGGAACAGAGTATTCCTACACTCTGGTACTTCTACTATAACTTGTGTACAGGATCTGAGTACTTCTCCCCCACTGACCTGTATGTGGCACAGGGCGGTGAGCCTCATCTCTCTGGAGGGGCTTCCGCAGGCAGTCAGCAGGGGGGCCCGCACTCGCTCCAGGGCCGCCAGCCCGACAGCAGGCAGGGCCGAGCAGAGCCCCAGGAAGAGGCTGAGGGTGGCGGCCATGACGGGGGGGTGGGGGCTGACCAGCGAGGCGTCCAGCAGGGACAGAATGTCAAACAGCTCGTCCTCGGTCTGAGGCCGGTAGCGCTGCAGGACCCTCAGGACCTCACACTGACCCCAGACGTCACACTCCTTCAACCTGGGAACACACACACACACACACACACACACACACACACACACACACACACACACACACACACACACACACACACACACACACACACACACACACACACACACACACACACACACACACACACACACACACACACACACACACACACACACACACCCACACACACACACACAGCTCAAATCAACACCTTGCAGACAATTTATTTTGGGGAAATGTAGATGAATCAGAAATAAAAAAGACAGCAAGCTCCCTACCAATAATCCTGCCAATGTTAGGCAGCATTTATTTAACTTTGTATTCCTGAAGTCACAGAAAAATGTAAAAAAGGTAAAACCTTTTTGGTTAAAAGTCATTATTTATCCAAGTGAAGCATGAATAAATGCTATCTCTTTTCTAAGGTTTGACTCCGCTGTTATTGGTGGTGGTGGGCTGAGCTGATCTTCAAATCCGAATCCCTCTGTGCTGAACCCAGAATGTGACTAAAGACGGTTTTAAACATCACACTATCCATTTGTGAGCTGTTACAGATGATATTTACAGTATTTGAGTAAATATACCAAAACCTCTGTCTGTTTATCATCCTGGTATCATCTTAGTGTATTTCAGGTTTTCCTGGTAAAACTGCTTTAGAGGGAAGTGTATCAGGAAGTACTGGGAAGCCATGTGCAGTACTGCTTTAGCTCAGAACAAACACAGGACAGAAAATGTCAACAAATTATATTTCCGTAAAGAAGAAATAAATGTTTTACTTAGTGGCAGAGCTGGGACCAAGTCATTGTTTTGCAAGTCCAAGTCAAGTCTCAAGTCAGGTTGGGCAAGTCAAGTCCAAGTCCTAAACTTTGACAAAACGAGTCATAAACAAGTCATTATGTGTTTTTCACCAAATGTAATGACATCGATCAACAGAATAATACTTAATAATCAAACTGCTCTTTATTAGTCACATTAATAATTTAATAATCCATTTTCTCTCTGCTGGTAAAGTAACGTGTGTTTTTCTAATTTAAGAGGGATCAGTAAGGTAAGGCTACCGTGACGGTTTGATTCAGAAGGAGTTTAATGGATAAGATCCCTGATGTTGAGGTGACCAGAATGTTTATTTCCACTGTGTACAACATGTTATAAGGGACCTACAATCTATCTTTATGCAAGGGATAATGTGCAGCGAGGCGGTCTCTATGGGGAAAATAACACCTGCATCTAGATCCCTCTGCAGGTGGTACTTTAACTATATTTTGATGCTAATACTTTTCTACTTTTACTTGTAACATTTTGAATGCAGGACTTTTTATTGTACAGGGTTCCTGCAGGTTTCGCCAACTCAAATGTAAGACTTTTTAACACCTTTTTAAGACCACTTTGAATAGAATTTAAGACCTATTTCACGGCAATAAAGTGTGAAGGAAAATGTATATAAAGAAGAAATACGTCCCATAATCACTTACAAAGTAAATGTATTCATGTTCAACATAAGAACAGTGACTGAACACAACAGCGTAACAGTACAGAACTGTGTTGGCGTGTTAGACAAAAAGTGTGTGTATGTGTGTGCGTCTGTGTGTGCTTGAGTGTGTGTTAGGGCTGTGCAATTAATCATATTTTAATCGCAATTACGATTTTGGCCTGCCACAATTACGAAAACAACATAATCGTAAAAAACGATTATTTTGCTTTGCTAGGTTGTGACAGTGCACTACAACATATTTGATCTAATTAATTTTTTAGTAATGTATCATTTATTTAATACATTTTTGTATTGGTTTTTCAGTTGAATTATACGTTCAGGGTAATCAACAGTTAAAAAGATACTGTTCAAATTATTATCTGTTTTAAAGTTCAATAAATGGATGTTTTCAAAGTCAATGAATAATCATATTTAATAATCGTGATATTAATTATTGACCAACATAATCTTGATTATTGCCATAATCGAGCAGCCCTAGTGTGTGTGTGTGTGTGTGTGTGTGTGTGTGTGTGTGTGTGTGTGTGTGTGTGTGTGTGTGTGTGTGTGTGTGTGTGTGTGTGTGTGTGTGTGTGTGTGTGTGTGTGTGTGTGTGTGTCTCTGAGAGAGAGTGACAAGAGCTATATTCAGAGCTCTGCTGCCTTGGCTACACTATTTCATCGTTGCTGTTGTATGATTGGTGTTTAGCTACGGTATTTAGCGTCTACAGCACCTCCGCTTTTAGGGTTGACGTAGACCCAAACTTAGCCCGGAGGTCCCCCGGTGTTGTTGCGGAAGCTGCTGCATTAGCTGCTGCTGCACTAGCTAACGCTGCATTAGCTGCTGCTGCACTAGCTAACGCTGCACTAGCTAACGCTGCACTAGCTAACGCTCCACTAGCAAAACAAACACTAATTTATTTTGCAAAAGATGCAGCGGGCTTCAAACACGTTCCCTCCACTGGTTTCAACCAAGCACTAAATTAGATGTTTTCCAACCAAATACGGTTGAACTTACACTTCCCCATATTTATTTGTAAGTAGATTCGAAGATAGGCTACATGAGCTGAAGCTTGGTTGCTAGGTTACTAGCTGGGTGTTCTCCAACAAGGGGCCGGGGGAAACAAAGTTAGTGATTACTGGTTCCATGTTGATTTCATTCAATACAAATTGTTGGGGGGAACTGAAAGGCTATTACCGTACTGGTTACTTTGCAGCCCGGACATTTCCCCCAAAACACATTTAGACGCTATCGCAACATAGAAGTACCTTTCAAATCCGATAATTTTGAAGACCTTCTGAATCATATTTAAGACCTTTTTAAGGCCTTCAATTCTGATTATCAAATGTAAGACTTTTTAAGACTTGTTAAGACCCCGCGGGAACCCTGATTGTAACTTTTTTTAATTGTCTGAACTTCTCCCACCTCTGACAATAAATCCTGAGTGTTTACCCTGCTCTGAAGGTTATTCTCATTTTAGAAATCCTGCACTCAGCTTTGCTTTCTCCAATATCATTGAAAAGCAGCCAGATGCTGCTTCTTTTTTCGGTTTTCGCTCATTTCTTGACTTTTTCCGACGCGCTTGCATTTAAATCCGACTCCCCGTCTCCCCGTCGCTCTGCACATGCTGTGCCCCCACCCTTCTTTCACATAATGGTATGATCCTAGTGTGTCCTCGCATATGATTGGCCGCATGGTGGCCCAGCTAAATAAAGACCCGCCCCTGCCTGCAAGGATTCTCAGCAAGAGTAGGAGCGGCTGAAGATTCTGCTTTCCCCGACGGGAGTCTGCTCTTCTAGCGGTAGCTCGCGATCGGCGTGTTGGAGACCTCTGAATTAAAGTAGCAAGTCACCTCAAGTCAGAAGGCTCAAGTCCAAGTCAAGTCCCGAGTCATTGGTGTTCAAGTCCAAGTCGAGTCGCAAGTCTTTTGTGATGTTGTCAAGTCGAGTCTCAAGTCATAAAATGTGTGACTCGAGTCTGACTCGAGTCCAAGTCATGTGACTCGAGTCCACACCTCTGCTTAGTGGCACACAAACAAGGAAATTACAATAATAATAATAATATAATATAAAGATACTCTCCATTATGCAACATGGTAAAGTTTAAGCTGGCAGCCTGTCGCAGCAGCTCCTAGTGTTTAACCTATAACGTTTTTTTTTCATTAATATTCCATCCATTGCACACTTAATGTAAATAATATCTTACTTTGAAATTGTGTAAGCTGTAATGTGGCACTTCATAGTGTTTATTTGTCAGTGAGTCTCGAGGTTTTTATCTTTCATGTTCCAATTTTTTTAATTTTTAGTTGTTTTATTTTTCTACACTGAACAAAAATATAAATGCAACACTTTTGTTTTTGCTCCCATTTTTCATGAGATGAACTCAAAGATCTAAAACATTTTCTATATACACAAAATAACCATTTCTCTCAAATATTGTTCACAAATCTGAAAAGATCTGTGATAGTGAGCACTTCTCCTTTGCCGAGATAATCCATCCCACCTCACAGGTGTGGCATATCAAGATGCTGATTAGACAGCATGAGTATTGCACAGGTGTGCCTTAGGCTGGCCACAATAAAAGGCCACTCTGAAACGTGCAGTTTTGCTTTATTGGGGGGGTCTGGGGGGGTCCGAAAACCAGTCAGTATCTGGTGTGACCACCATTTGCCTCACGCAGTGCAACACATCTCCTTCGCATAGAGTTGATCAGGTTGTTGATTGTGGCCTGTGGAATGTTGGTCCACTCCTCTTCAATGGCTGTGCCAAGTTGCTGGATATTGGCAGGAACTGGAACACGCTGTCGTATACGCCGATCCAGAGCATCCCAAACATGCTCAATGGGTGACATGTCCGGTGAGTATGCTGGCCATGCAAGAACTGGGATGTTTTCAGCCTCCAGGAATTGTGTACAGATCCTTGCTACATGGGGCCGTGCATTATCATGCTGCAACAAGAGGTGATGGTCGTGGATGAATGGCACAACAATGGGCCTCAGGATCTCGTCACGGTATCTCTGTGCATTCACAATGCCATCAATAAAATGCACCTGTGTTCGTCGTCCATAACATACGCCTGCCCATACCATAACCCCACCACCACCATGGGCCACTCGATTCACAACATTGACATCAGAAAACCACTCACCCACACGACGCCACACACGCTGTCTGCCATCTGCCCTGAACAGTGAAAACCGGAATTCATCCGTGAAGAGAACACCTCTCCAACGTGCCAGACGCCATCGAATGTGAGCATTTGCCCACTCAAGTCGGTTACGACGACGAACCGGAGTCAGGTCGAGACCCCGATGAGGACGACGAACATGCAGATGAGCTTCCCTGAGATGGTTTCTGACAGTTTGTGCAGAAATTCTTTGGTTATGCAAACCGATTGTTGCAGCAGCTGTCCGAGTGGCTGGTCTCAGATGATCTTGGAGGTGAACATGCTGGATGTGGAGGTCCTGGGCTGGTGTGGTTACACGTGGTCTGCGGTTGTGAGACCGGTTGGATGTACTGCCAAATTCTCTGAAACGCCTTTGGAGACGGCTTATGGTAGAGAAATGAACATTCAATTCACGGGCAACAGCTCTGGTGGACATTCCTGCTGTCAGCATGCCAATTGCACGCTCCCTCAAAACTTGCGACATCTGTGGCATTGTGCTGCGTGATAAAACTGAACATTTTAGAGTGGCCTTTTATTGTGGCCAGCCTAACGGCCCGTACACACAGCAGCTTTTGGCGATTTGTCCACCGCTTCCAGCGCGTCTCCGCCCATTGACTTTGAATGGGGATGACGTCACTTTCCCTCGCTTGTCGCCGAACTGCATTGTGGGGGGGCGAGGCGAAGATTTCCAGGATTTCCAGGATGTTCAGGATTCCAAAGTTGAACAATGTTCAACTTTTGAGGCTGAGCTGGAAGCGACAGCCAATCAGATCCGTTTATGCAAATCTGACAGTTCAAGCGCTAGCCAATCAAACCGCGTGCAAGCTGGGAGAACCAGACCCGCAGTTCATTTCTATATTCCACAAAAATGGAGGAGAACTTAGTTATTGCGGTAGCAAATCACCCGGTTCTTTATGACCAGTCCCTATTTACTTACCGGGATACAAACCGGAGGAACCAGGCATGGGGGGAGGTGGCAGAGGCAGTGGGTGAAACTGATAGGTTTTCGCTTGTTTGGGGATTTTATATCCAGTTTACTTCGTTGCTAGTTTACTTCGTTGCTGGCAAGCATAGACAGTATCATTAGCCAGCATGGAATGTAGCATAAAATAGCACCATAGACATTAATCTCATAAATGTTCAAAATGTTAAAAGAAATAGTGGAGAAGAACCGGGGTTTTTTGCTTTGTATGTCGGGGGCGGGAGATTCATGTGATTGGTTGTTGGTCGCGAAATCCCCAAGCTTTCAGACACGCCCAGCTCCAAGATTTTCAAGATTTTTGAAAAGCTGCTGTGTGGACGTACCGTAAGGCACACCTGTGCAATAATCATGCTGTCTAATCAGCATCTTGATATGCCACACCTGTGAGGTGGGATGGATTATCTCGGCAAAGGAGAAGTGCTAACTATCACAGATTTTTTCAGATTTGTGAACAATATTTGAGAGAAATGGTTATTTTGTGTATATAGAAAATGTTTTAGATCTTTGAGTTCATCTCATGAGAAATGGGAGCAAAAACAAAAGTGTTGCATTTATATTTTTGTTTGTTTTCTTCGAATGACGTGCATTGCCTTTGTTTTAACAAGCTGCTGTAACGAAAACATTTCCCAATTTAGGATCAGTATATCCTACCTTATTGAGCACAACTCTTCCATATCTTGGACCCGGTGATATCATCATGTGTGTGCTGTTTGTAGCAGCAGTGCCACAGACCTGTGTCCTGGCATCACTCAAATACAATGCTGTCTACACATGACTTACACTTTAATAGCCGTCATGTTCTCACCTGTTGAGCAGGTGATGGGTGATGGGTTTGTTAATAGCCACCCCCCCCTCCTCCTTCAGGATCTCCTCCAGAGCTCGGAGACAGTTCACCATCACCACGGGGTCCGGGTCCCTCAGCAGGGTGTACAGCTCATTCACCACCGCGGCGTCTGGAAGAGTGAAAGAGAACAGGGCTGAGGACATGTTGGGTGGAGAGAGCTGGAGTTACAGTAGGTAACTTCAGCTCTCTCTTCTATGAGTATAGGCGTAGCCCTCTAAGGCTATCGCTATTGGGTAATCCCCTGCGCACCCGCGCAGCACTGAAAACACTTGTAGTCCACGCCCACCTGCGAGGTGGGCCCCACCTTCGGCCTCCTTCCGGTATAAATAGGAAGGAGGCCCGACAATCTGCTCCCACACAAACAGCTTTTCTTCAGCTATTCGTGGAGCCAGTGGGGCCCAGCACTTAGAGGGCTACGCCAATACTCATAGAAGCTGGAGTTACAGTAGGTAACTTCAGTTCTATTTCGTATATGGCTTCGCCCTCTAAGGCTATCGCTATTGGGTTAAGGGCGAAGCATGATGTAGTCTGCGCCCCACTGGGTCCGCCCGGTACCAGAAGCACAGACACATCTACTCAGATAATAACATTACATTACATTGCATTTAGCTGACGTTTTTATCCAAAGCGACTTACAATAAGTACATTCGACCAGGAAGACACAACCTTGAAGAAAACAGAATCATATAAGTACATCAGGTTTCATAGAGCCAAACATTTCAAGTGCTACTCAACTGGCTTTAGGTAAGCCAGTCCTTTAATAATAATATGAATAACCCATGCCTATTGCGCCATGCGACTGGCGCATCACCGTCCATGGAATATAGCATAACATGAATATTTTCCATGAGGGGACGAAGGCTGGTAACAATACAAACCTGCCGCTGTGAAAAGGTAGAGACGAAGGTCACACCTTGTCCAGCGATAAAAGAGGGGGGGAAAAGCAGCTCTCTGCATGCAGACAGGCAGGAGAGAGGCGCACAGCTGGATCCCTAACGTCACTCACTCTGACAAGACACTCAGTAGCCTACAGAGTGTGTCAGAGAGGAATGGGAGACATCCCTCAATAAATAAAAATGAATAAATGAACAGGGGGAAGACCAAGATGCACCAGTGCAAATGTCTTTCCACTGACACTCCTCCGTGCAAGGCCGTAGAGAAGGAAATTCCTCTGGTGGAGTGTGCACTGATGTTCTCCGGGGGATCCAACCCAGAGGAGACATACGCCTGTGACACAGCCTCACACAGCCAGTGTGACAGGCGTTGTGCTGACAGAGGCAGCCCTAGTGAGCGCTCTCTGTAATGCACAAACAGGCGCTGGGAACGGCGCAAACAGCCGTGCGCGTAACATAGCAAGCTATGCAAGATGTGCTGTAGTGGTCGTCATGGTGACGAGCCACGCCATCACCCATCGCCGCTGCCCGTGAGGCGAAAGGGCTGGAAAGGAGCCTCCACACGCTGCATTTCATTCCGGCTCTCATCATGAGGCACTTACACGCTCAGGGGATGAGTGGTGGTGTGTGCAGTACTGTCCACACGAGGTGTTATAACGGTGCTCATGGGTTTATTATGACCGTGTGTAGGAGGCAAGCACAGCAGGCTTCTGCAGCGAGCCATGCTGTCTACTGTTACAACCCGGCTTGTGGGCTGCAACATAAAGCTGGGAGGCGAGACGAGGGTTGTGAATAATAAAGACTACATTTTTGTTTATTTTTATAAACAAAAATGAGGACGCGGCACCAGCAACAGATCCCCGAGGCTAGCCGGGATATAAAAAGGTACTGTCATCAAACCACTCCTCAAAAAACCCACCTTAGACCCTGAAGTCCTTGCTAATTACAGACCAATCTCCAACCTGCCATTCCTATCCAAGGTACTGGAGAAAGTAATTGCCATTCAGATCCAGGAACATCTCAAACTGAATAACCTCTTTGAAAAATTCCAGTCTGGTTTCCGCCAGGGCCACAGTACAGAAACTGCCTTAGTCAGGGTGACCAATGACCTGCTGATGACAGCTGACACCGGATCTCCATCTCTCCTCATCCCCCTGGATCTAACTGCAGCATTTGACACCGTCGACCATGACATTCTACTCCATCGTCTTCGCTCTACAATTGGACTCTCTGAATCTGCCTGAATCTGAACTGGTTCACCTCTTATCTCACCGGGAGGACTGAGCACGTCACCTTGGGAGCGGCAAAATCACAAACACACTCTGTGACCTGTGGTGTCCCCCAAGGATCAGTCCTCGGCCCCACCCTTTTCACCATATGCATGTCCCCGCTTGGTCGTGTCATCAGCCGGCATGGAATATCGTTCCATTGCTATGCTGATGACACACAGCTCTACATCAGAGCTAACCCAACCCCCTCTGCACCTCTGCCATCATCCACAATAACAACATGCCTGGAGGAGATAAAGGTGTGGATGAAGCACAACTTCCTTCAACGTCCTTCAGAAAGTTCTGACAGGATGTGTCAGAGCTTTCTCCAATTAATCAAAGATACATGGGGCCAGGGCTCGAGCTTAAGGACGTCCCGTCGTCCCGGGGCCGAAAAAAATAGTGTCGGGAGGATAAAAAATAATTTTGGGACGAATTTGGGACGAGAGTTAAAATAAAAATACCCTGCTAACTCTACTACAAACGGCGATGAAAATGAAACTGACTGCACGTTTTGTGTAGCACACAGTTATTAAACCTCCTTGTCAACATAAACACACACGCACAAAACATTTAGCAACCCGCGAAATACCCACACACACACACACACACACAAACACACACACACAGTACGTAGCTACAGCTGTGCCCGCGAATTCCTGGCCCGCAAATTCACGGGTCTAGCTATGTACTGAGTGTGTGTATTTCGCGGGTTGAGTGATGTACAATGACAATGGCATCTCGTGGAGGAATTCTGAAATGTTTTACCGTTACATCACAAAAACGCACAGCAGAACCAGACCCTGGAGCGCCGGCCTCTTTATTTACTTACACCTCTTCATCCCCTATGGGTAATAAGGCTGAGATGAGAACCCTCCATCGTATTTAGTCCTTAGCAATATGATGCGCCTCTCCCCATGTAGGGATGGGTACCGAGCCCCGGTATTAAACGGGCCCCGGGCTGGAATTAAAGACAGTGGTAACGTTAAGCTCCGACATTATCGGACTTTTTATCGGTACTGGAGACATTTAAAAAATATATGCAGGGGTGCACATAACTTTTTTGCCCTGGTTCTCAAAGGAGCACCTGGAGATGTTGCTTGGTGCTCATCCTTAAAATTAAATAAACCGTAACTTTTGAGGGGTCTTGACTTTATTTGCCAGACACACGGCACTGAACACACATGCAGAGGTGAACACAGAACACACATGCAGAGGTGCACACTGAACACACATGCAGAGGTGCACACAGAACACACAAGCAGAGGTGAACACAGAACACACATGCAGAGGTGAACACAAGACAACATTAGCACGACCAGTAATCCTGCAAGCTGTCATCACTACCCTCCTGACTGTTCTCCTCACTGTCAGACATGGTAGCTGATGATGTAGGCCTACTACTTTCTCTCTGGTTGAGTCTGCGATTAGATGCTTGCATCCACAGCTGGGTTTGGGTCGAAAGTCTCTGTTGTCATCTTAGACAAGTGGATGTAATCAAATAAGTATGTGAACATAACCAATAACCTACCATAGCCAATAACAAATTAATGTAACTTATTTTATTTGTGTTGTTCATTCATATCTTATTTTACTTTAACATTTATTTATTTATGCATTTTTTTTTATCTCTCCAGTTTTAAAGGATATTTTTGGTTACTGTCCTATAGTATACATTGGAATGATTTCAAACCTGTTTATCCCAATAATTATAAAGGAGTGCCTTGGAAATATGTGTTTACATAAATTGTGACCAAACCGTTTGAACTTAAGGCAAGGCAAGGCAAGGCAAGGCAAGGCAAGGCAAGGCAAGGCAAGGCAAGGCAAGGCAAGGCAAGGCAAGGCAAGGCAAGGCAAGGCAAGGCAAGGCAAGGCAAGGCAAGGCAAGGCAAGGCAAGGCAAGGCAAGGCAAGGCAAGGCAAGGCAAGTTTATTTATATAGCACTTTTCAACACAAGGCAATTCAAAGTGCTTTACAAAAAATGAAAGAGATTAAGAAAATGGCATTTAAAATCAGTCATTAAAAAGAAAAGCTAATAAATTAAACATTAAAAGAAAAAAAGTACATGGATAAAAGTTACAGTGCAGTCTAAGATATGAATAGTTCAATTAAAAGCAGCGACAAAAAGAAAAGTCTTCAGCCTGGATTTAAAAGTAGTCAGAGTTGCAGCGGACCTGCAGGTTTCTGGGAGTTTGTTCCAGATATTTGGAGCATAATAACTGAACGCTGCTTTACCATGTTTAGTTCTGACTCTGGGGACAGAAAGCTGACTAGTCCCTGAAGACCTGAGAGATCTGGATGGTTCATCATTTAGCAGGAGGTCAGTAATGTATTTTGGGCCTAAACCATTCAGTGCTTTATAAACCAGCAGCAGTATTTTGAAATATATTCTTTGACACACAGGAAGCCAGTGTAAAGACTTCAGAACTGGAGTGATGTGATCCACTTTCTTAGTGTTAGTGAGGACTCGAGCAGCGGCGTTCTGAATCAGCTGCAGCTTCCTAATAGATTTTTTAGTGAGACCTGTGAAGACACCATTGCAGTAGTCGAGTCTACTGAAGATAAAAGCATGGACAAGTTTTTCCAAATCCTGCTGTGACATTAGTCTTTTAATCCTAGATATATTCTTTAGGTGATAGTAGGCTGATTTAGTAACAGTTTTAATGTGACTGTTGAAACTCAGGTCAGAGTCCATGACTACACCTAGATTTCTGGCTTTATCTGTTGTTTTGAACATTGCAGACTGAAGCTCAGCGCTAACTTGTATACGTTCTGACTTGGCTCCAAAAACCATTACCTCAGTTTTATCTTTGTTTAATTGGAGAAAGTTCTGACACATCCAGTCATTGATTTGTTCAATGCACTTACTCAGTGTTTGAATTGGAGCATAGTCTCCTGGTGAAATTGTTACGTAAATCTGTGTGTCATCTGCATAGCTATGGTAACTT